CTAAACGCCTGAGTCTGGTAATGTTTTTTTCAAAAAAATAGTATACTGCTGTATATAAGTGGGAATTTACATTACTAGACTTGAATCCCCCCTCCTAGACGTATCCGACCCCCGCTCAGTAGCGCTGCTCAAGTGCTGAAGCATGCAGCCATAATAACTTACATTTGATAATGTCAATGTATCACATATTATACATTTTTGGTATCTGGGTTGAAAATTCTACTTACCCGTGCAAAAATCCAACATGGCGCTTATTCAGAAAAAAAAGTTTAATGATTGAGGGCTAGAGACGAAACGTCGTTTTGAAACTATAATTATGCTATCTTGTAGAGGAGCAGAAGTTGTAATGTTAGTGTACCTGAAAATTCTGTTTCTTTCGTTTGTATCCGGCAATACTTGGAGTGCAACTTTCTATGTGTTATTTTCTTAGTCACCTAAATATCTGCGCCCATTTAACTGACTTCGTATGTCTAACAGTTTGAAACATCCGGTATATCGATTTCTGAGTCATCCAAACATTCAACACTGAAAAAGTTTGCAGTGCAAGGATTTGCCTCCCCTCTATTACTCGAACACCACTGCTCGGATATCGATGAAATTTTGCGACAAAGGAACTATGCCAATGGCGAGAAAACATTATAGCTTTTAAAAACTGATCCAGCGCCAGTGGAGCTCCAGGAAAAGAAATAAAAATCACTCCAACCTCGTTTTTTTACGTAAGAATGGTTTCTACTCATATGTCACACACAAATTTAACTATATATTTTTCCTTAAAGCTGAAGAATCTTATTAATATGTTCAATATTTGCATCGAGCGCAGCGAATATGAAGGAAACCTATCTTGAGATGGCCCCTACCATGGACTAGATTTATTCTTCGTAGCTGTGATCACAACGAAGTCGGTTGGACGGCAAAGTACTAAGAGGACTAATTGTATGGGCCTGTCTGACTGACTTCGTCAATTTTAATCCAATTTTATTAATTTCTTAATCATGCTCGTGGTTAGACGTTTTTTGTGCCGAACATAATCCTTTGTAGACTGATGTCAGCGTGGCGTGGGAAGTGCAGTCAACTTACCTGACACCATTTTCCAACAATGCCTTTCAGGAGCTAAATATTTCGGAAGTTATTTCAATACATATTATTCCGTACGAATTTTTTAATATTCTGCACCAAGAGAGTGATTTCCAACCAAAAATTGTACCCAAATCTCAAGAAAGATAATGCCTATTGCCTCGACGATATCCTACATATCCGCAGTAGAAAGAGTAGTCTAATCATATTAGACTAAAATACCCCTGGTTTGCGAAATAATTGTAAAGTCTGGTTTTATTGCTGCAAGTTGTTCAAGGAGGTATTCAGAGCGTGGGCGCATAAAATGGGTACACAAATTTTTGCGGGAAAACTTTTTATTCGACAACAATGAATGAGAAAACGCGTTTTTTGGGATTCAATCGAAAGTGTTGGCAGGAACGAAAAAAGTTATGGCCGAAAACCCAGGCAAACTGCAGGTTTTGGCCCTCTTGTTGGTGATGCGACGATGGTTTCTCGCAGATATTTGAAATTTTCCAAATTCGTAGTATTTGTACTTCTAAATAACCACAACAAGTAGTTTTTGAGAATTTCTAATTGTTTTTTCCAAAACATCTGTTTATTGAGCAATATTCAGGGTTATCTGAGAAGAATTTTATAGCAAAATACACTAGTTTATCTTGCCGATATGAATCGCAAACCAATCCAAAAAATAAATGTTATTTTTATGCAAAAAGGGATTGGTGTCGTTTTTTCTTCTAAACAAATTCAAAAATTTCGTATTTGTGAGTAATTCGCAACAAAAGATGATAGACACATCCGCATTCTTTTAAAATGTGTATAGTAACGTATGTTTTTCGAATATCGTAGCGCATTTGTTCAGTTACTCACAAACACGAAATGTTTGAATTTGTTTAGAAGAAAAAACGTTACCTTTGTTTTTCGCATAAAAATAACATTTATCTTTCGGAATGATTTGTGATTCATATTGTCAAGATAAGCACGTGTGTTTTGCTATTAAATGCTCTCTGAACGAACCCTGTATATTGCTCAATAAACTAGTAGTGATGGACGGAAAACAGGTGTTTGGGGATAAACAATAAGAAATTCTCAAAAAACTACTTAACCAATATAATTCAATTTTGTTGTTGTTGTTATTTAGCTGAATGAATCCTTCGGATTTGACGAATTTCAAGTAGTTCCTGAAATTAACGTCGCATTACCAACAAGTGCCAAAACCTGCATTTTGCCTAGTTTTTCGGCCGTAACATTTCTGCTATTAGTTGGATCTTTTTACGTATGGTCTCATTTTGTAGGTCTCATAGATAGCTATAAAACTTATATGAAAAGTTTTTTCGGTCCTGTCAACACTTTCGATTAATTCCAAAAAACACGTTTTCCCATTCTTTGTTGTCAAATAAAAAGATTTCCCACAAAAATCAGTGCGTACATGTTTTTAATACCCCCTTGAACAACTTGCACCGATAAAACCAGACTTTACAATTATTTCGAAGAAATTTGCTAATATGATTAGACTAGAGAGCAGCATCCGGAAAAGGCTTGCTTGATATGTTAAAGGTCCTGTATCAGGACACTTAAGGTGCCGTTCCGCGCGCCTTCAGCGACAGATGACAGCGACCGCGATAAGGCCTGATACCGATTCTCGAGATTAGTGGGTTAGCACTGGCACGTAAAATCTATCACTGTCAGCTTGAGGTACACAAATCCAAATTTGAAAAGGAAATATAAGTCACATCGCACGTGTTTAACAATGCATAGCTAACCCCTCCCAATACCTCGCTGGCTACGGACCTGAAGAATATAAAATAGCTTGAAGTAACGGGCTCTTAAAAATCTACGGCAATAAAAAATTAATTTTCTGGTTAGCAGTACTTCAATGACGAATAGCTGTTAGTCTACCTACTTTCTTGTCATCGGTATTCTGTGATGTATTGTCTTTCGTTCCCCATCCGTTATCCTAACCTGTGGTTCATTCATCCATCACAAAAATATATATCTCTCATCTGCGATTCTGTCATAACTACGCACAGCTCATTACAATAATAGTTCAGTAAAGTTGTGACATTAGACACCTCTGACGGTTTACTGGGAGGAGCAAGATGTGTATAGTTGTACGGCAGACAATCATTCATTCATACAATCTATAAGCTGCAGAGCTAGGTAAAGAATTTGATATTGCTGATCAAACCAGTGGCCGCAATGGTAGATGCTTCATCTCCTAATCAGTCGCCTATGGGTGTTGTGATTGTCCGTAGGTGGTAGACGGTCTCTGACTGTCGTACGCGGTGGTACCACCCGGCGGATCTCGTGTGCATGTGCTAGAGTCCGTGTGGCGTCCCCCCCTTTCCCCTCTATGGGTGTTTAGGTCTTGGGCCTTCGTTGTAGCTGGAGAATAATAAAAAACACATCGAAGCAGCCGTGTAGGCAGAAGTCTAAATGCTAGGGTACCGTGGCTACTATGATGAGCTTAAAGAAGAACTGTTAATATGTTTTTTAAACTGCTCGAGGCTAGTAGAATTAGGAAAAGCTTCGTCGCGCAAATAGGTCTATAATCTCGATACCCTAGGAACAAAAGAGCGGTCGTACCAGCCAGGTCTGGATGTACGAAGTTCGGCACCGTTACATGGATAATATAGTCGGAGCGGTGAGATGTGTTCGTGCCAGATCAAGCCCTCAGTGATCTGGACTCCGACCAGCCGAAATAAATGACTCCTTGGTAGATTTGGGCCATCCATCAAAATCGAATGAGCGCTAGGACGCGTCTTGTTCGTCCAAGAACAGTATTCGGTTATTGATCAACAGACAGCTGATGCATCTGAGTCAGCAAAACGAACATCTCTCCAAGGAAATGCGCAGAAAAAGTATTTGAGCTCTTCCCAGTCGGCATGTCCGCAATGCCAAATCTTGCGGCCTGGGCGAGTTTCTGCTGCCACAGCCAGTTCTGGCCCGAACCAAACCTGCTCAACACCGTGGTCTGAGTTACCCAGGGGAGACAGTACAGCAGGTGGCATTATACCATCTCCGCCGTTTTCTGTTGGAGTCGTGTAAATCTAGTAATAACTTTAGATGGCCACATAAGAAATAATCATAATCTGGTAGATGAAGGCCGGAAATCAAGCAAGCCATAAACAGGTTCTCTTCCTCCTATACACCGATTTTTGTATATTTCTGTGGGAAACTCATTGGTAATAAAGAAAATATTACTCAAAAATATGAAGATATGTCTTGCCCGGTAGCTTCGTGGGGGCTGTCTAACAATAGAAGGCATAATATTATGTTTCAGCGACCTCGCGATTCCAAGAGGTCGGGATCAGTAACAGTCAGAAGCTTCAATTTACACTTGCCTAAAAGATGTAGGCGGCAACCACATATTTCTGAGTCATCATAAACCGTTCTCTGTCGCTGTTGAATCGAGAAAGTTAGAAGAGTCGTGAATATGCAGTTTTTGAACGGGTCACTTGATCGCTTGCTAACTTTAGTAATCTGAAATTCGATATACTGAAATTGATGCATGAATACCATATTTTAGCGTAAGAGGGGAGTTGAGCTTTTAAATCAAACACGTGTCAGATCACTTTGAAGCTCCTTGAAGAGCAAAAAAGTATAGAAAATATTTCCAAATCGGCGACCTTGCGAATTTACCAGGTCAGTATTGGTAGCGATCAGGAACCTGAATTACTACAGCCTATTGTAATTAATAAAGATATAAGTTATCAGAGACCAAAACGATTCCATACGATCGTTATTTCAGAAGACAGAAAACAGACATAGAAGTATAAATTTTCAGATCAATGACCTTTGCAGACGTGCCCAATGGTAGACATAAATGATCAGAAACTACCCCATACATCTGCTGCACCATTTGCAGATCAGTAACCCTCCGAAATTACTAGGTCAGTTTTGAAGAGATCAGAGACCTCAGTTCACTCAGATTCAAATATACAGTGATGACATATGATTCATCAAAAAGTAGAGGCGTGGTGATGTACTGGCAGATCAGTGACTTCGCCAATGGACTAGAACATGTAAGTTAGTAACTAATACCATTTAAAAATATGTATCCAGTAATAATACTGAATTATGATTAACCATTCTGTATATTATATTTGTTGGGTAAGGGCATGACAAAAATTAAAGTGATGCCATAACGTACCTTCCTCCGTGCTTTTTTGAATAACATAGCTATGGTTTTCCAATAATTAATAATATTTTTTCCTACTTAAACCGCCTACATACAGCTGTTTTGTTCGTTTACAATGTGGTCTCATCCACTTTCGTCTAGGAACAATTTCAGCAACAATCTCGCCGACTTAGTAAGTAATGAAACGTCTCCTAATTGCCTATTGTTGCTATTTCCAAATTTTGTTTTTAGCTCTTGATGATGATGGCATAGACCATCGAAAGCTTGAGTTTCAAGTTAAAAGAGTGTACTTTGCAAAACTTTTGCCGACTTCCCAAAGAATTATCAAGGATATACAGGTATACACGGTGTAAACGTTATGATAGCCATTATTTAAATGGGTGATATATGGGCTTAAAAGAAGCAAAAAGTTTCATATAGCACGGGGATCAAAACGGCTTTTTTTTAGAGAAAAGCGACTTTAAATTAGAATATATCTGACAACGCCTCAAAACTATGCAAAACGATAACTAACCACTGTTGCCGTTTGCGATCGATTGCCGGTTCAATAAGAGTGATGATAACAAACGCGCTGTTGTCAAGTGTGTTTTAAATATTCAATTTAATGAAACTTACTTTCTTACTGACTACAAATGTTGGCTTAACTTAGAAAAACTTAATGCCATTTATTTGTTAATTACCCAATTTAAAAACGCTTTAGATTAGATTATAAAAATTAGTAAGATTGTGGTGATTGTGGTCGATATAAAACACTTAAAGTTGTAAACTATAAAGCCATTTAGAAAAAATCTATTGACTTTGGACCATGGTCATATGAACTTTTTGACTTGTTTTTCAATAATGACCATAACATTTATTTATATATAAAAATGTGTCCAATGATAAAAAGTGAATTATCAGAGGCACTTTGTATCTGCCCGATCGGGTATCGGTGTGATATACTGGCAGATCAGTAACCCCGCAAATGTACTAGGTCATGTTCACTAGTGTTCAGAAGCTTCAACTTATACAGATTTCAAACATATACCGAACATGATAATACATAAATACTAGAATACTAAATTTAGTACATACGCTGCACCATGAGAGCAAAAACACACGTGAAAATATATTGGTAGATCAGTGACCTCGCAAAGTTACTAGGTCAGGATTGTAGCGGTCAACGACCTGCCAACTGTCAACCATAATCAGCGGCATATCACTCAAGTTGTTAACCAGCATTTATTAAATCCTCGCGTTTTCACACAATATAGCATGATACTTCCATGGTCACATTCGTGCTCGGAGATAACTGCTTCTTGGCATTGTTAGATCTAAATTAACAAGTACGGAGATGCTTCGGTATGCATTAATATGATGATAATTTAGTCATATTTTCAGTACACCGAAACATCTCATGCATTATTAATGGAGTATGGTGGTTACGCAAGTATAATTTTGATTCCAAATTTTCATTGGTGTAATGACATGTTTGCCTCTTTCAGTTGTCTTTGTTTTTTCCTTTTCCTAGATATATAGAAGTATTTACTCTTATCTTGAAATAAGAATGTAAGCTTTAAAAAACACCTACGCAGGAGCTAAGGTTGGAATCCCTGACTGTACTAGTGGCTACCTTGCACTGTGTACAATTTCATCAATTCTAGTCTATGATTACCAAAGAGTTGTTGTTTCTCCAAATGTGACACATAGAGAACATAAGCAGACGATCGACTCTTCTCCCATATTGCCTGTAACTGAGGTCTCCATCATACTCTTGGCTTTGACCAGGGCGATCCAGGTCAAAATAGTGTTCACCCAAGGTCATGTCTCATCAGGTTTGTCAAAAGTGAAGGTAGGACTTTGATTTGAGGCTAGTTTCAAGGTCACCAGTGATTTGATCGCCAAGGCCATAGTAATGATCAGTTGTAACGTCATCAATGAATAACCAAAGAGAAGCTGAAGTTCCGCTGCCTTTGGGATGCTATCTTTGCTTTATCTTCAGAAATAGCTCTGAAATCTGACCGGAACAATGAATTTTCATGGCCAAGATCTATGTCTTTCCTGTTCAGTGGAATTAGCTCCTGTACTTTCCGCTGCTTCCGTGAATAATACCGGGATGACATGCTAAAAGGTAAATAATAATTACCGTTCATCATGTTTATAGGATCTGAGTTTCTGTGATTGTTGGTGAAGTCGCCTTACTTCTATTGACGAAAGGTTAACTTTTGTTGAACGGTATACTTCCATCCCTCGTCGGCCAGCGATGAGTCCTATTATTAAGCTTTATTACTATTTTTTAATTAATCAAAATTTTTGAAAAATCTCGAACATTACTAAACAGGTTGCTTCCGCCCTCTCGACCAAAGACAGTCAACCATAGACAGCTGTTTCGTGTTTTCAAGCTACTCATCATCATGCTCTAGGCTTGGTTTCTCGTACAATGATCGTAAGCTTAGGGCTATACACCATCAAAAGTGTGAGTGAGATATATCGAAATAAGATATGTCATCACACGTACAATATCTCATCATTAAAATCAGAAATAGGGTCTGTCAACCTATTTCATAAAAACCAAAGGAATGCTCGGCTTATGATATTAAGAAAAAAATGGCTATATGATATTTCAAGGTCTACTTAGCAAATTATATTTCTTTCAGGTAACTAAAGTTTGTCAATTTCAATGTATGACATATGATACTGAGTGCCAAAAAAAGGTAAACACCCACGTATGTTTATTAGAATTCAAGAATTGTTTACATATCGAATAACCTTACCATGAACAACAAGTGATAAAATGGTAAGGCTTTTCTGTTAAATTTTTGTGGTGGCTGCGTGTATTGTTTGGTGATAAAGAAGCATTCAGCTTTCTTCCATTTACGGTATCAGTCAGTGGCGGATTTAGAGGGGGGGCGCCCCCCCCCTAGACGTGTGACACTTGCTTTTGTAATCTAACACTATTGTGTTACTTTCTGAACACATCATGGCCACATAAGCATACTAGCTATAAGTTACAGCTATAGGAACTGAGCATTGCGATTTTTTGGTATTCCAAATGCTGACCCTCTCTGACATCACTTGTTCATGGCACAATTCTTACGATTTATACGAGTATTGTGACTTGTTACAAATCTAAGTCTGGGTACCTAATATATTAGCTATACAGATTGCATTTAATAGGTGATTTATGTTCTGTTTATTGCTCAATAGTAATTTGAAAAGTGTGTAAAGCTTGACTGATTTTGTTCAGGATTGGTGTTGCAGCGAAGCACTATGTTAGATGAACGCCTTGATTGGAAATAGACATTTATGAGATTTGTTTAGCGGTGCGCAGACATGTTCATCACACTGTTGCAGTTAAGGTTTGGGGTGCTATAGCTTATGGTTCCAGGTCACCTTTAATCTTCATCAGAAGTAACATGAACGTGCAGCGTTATATCCACGAAGTTCTAGAACCCCATCTTTTACCCAATCTTGACACCCTGGCAGATCCAACTTTCCAACAAGATAATGCCCGACCACATGTTGCAAGAGTCACAATAGACTTCTTTCAACATAATGATATCGCATTGTTACCATGGCCACCAAGATCTCCCGACTTATCCCCAATTGAGCACGTGTGGGATATGACGGGTAGGAGATTGCTCAATTTGCTACGTCCTCCTCAGACTCTAGAAGCACTTCGAGAGGAGTTCGTGGTTGCCTGGAATGAGATACCACAGGAGGACATTGACCACCTGATCAGAAGCATGCCTAGGCGCGTTGGAGAATGCGTAGCACATCAGGGTGCATCCACACATTATTAACCCCTTCAACTCCAGCTACAAATTCAAAAATATATCCTACATACCAGATCATGTTTTCTTCAAACTTCCATAAATTATATTAGTATACTTGAACTTGATTATTCGTACAGGTTTTAGTTTTTTAAAATAAAAAAACAGAATGGTGGTACGTTCCTAAAATTTAGCAGTATACCAGAATATCCATATAAGGATATAAGTGCTACACCAGGTTTCCATATATGGATATTTTAAAAAAATGAGTTTTTAACACATTTATGATAAAATAAATGCTTTATTTACAATATTATAAAGAGAGATAAACAAAGTTATAGAAAACATATACAGGGTGACTTTGAAGTTGAGTCATTAATTTTCAGATAATGATTGTAGAAGGAAGATAAACCAAAATATGTGTGTAAAAATAAAAAAAAAATAAAAAAAAATGTTACCTTGTTTAATAAAGTATCCTCCCGACAAGTATTTCAGTGCGGACCTGTATTTGATCGTGCGGTCTTGGAGCAGCATGCCCTCACCTGTGAGGTCTTAAGTCACCTGATTCACGAGCCCTTTGTACTACATTAACAAAGGCACGAGGGGTTGGTTGCACTCGATTGGGAAACCGATTCGCATAAATCCGTGATGCATCCGGGAGCATTTTGTAAAGACTGCCCCCCCGTAAATAAGAGTCATGTCCACAAGTTCAGCATTTTCGTAAACATGTGCCATTTTTTATTTCGTTTGAACCACGCAACACACTACTATTCACTTACGCGTTATCGACTGACGAAAAACATCGTGATAAACGTTTCAAATTCTTTCGCTTTTTTGTTTCCGATGCGATGAACCGGTCAGGCGGATTATATCCGTTGTCGCCAAACACGAGCATATAATAGGCAGGGCGGTACTCAAACTTCCAAAGGGCTATAACTTTGTTACTTTAATTTTACCAGAAAAATGGTAAAGGAAAAAAACATTTCTTTTGATCAGATCTACTCACTGTTAAAATAAATGACTCAACTTCGAAGTCACCCTGTATTTCACACTTATTACTTGTGTTAATCTTCAAAGTGATCGTCACAGAATACTCCTGGTTTATCTGTACATTCAAGGCAAACATTTCTAG